TGACTCGGCCGGGGATTGAACACACGACCTCCCGTATCAAAGGCGGACGCTCTTACCACTAAGCCACCGGAGCTCAGCTAAAGACATGTACGGATCATACCGACACCACTGCTACTTTCGAAGACGTTGATAATGGGGACAATATGTCATTAGGTGTGCTGTCAAAAACGTTGATAATGGGGATGATATGTCATTAGATATCAGGTCGAAGACATTGTTAATAGGGACGATATGTCATTAGGTGAGCTGTCGAAGACGTTGATAATGTGGACGATATGTCATTAGGTGTGCTGTCGAACATGTTGATAATGGGAATGATATGTCATTAGGTATCCTGTCGAAGACGTTGATAATTAGGACGATATGTCATTAGGTGAGCTGTCGAAGACATTGATGATATTGACGATATGTTATTAGGTGTGCTGTCGAAAACGTTGATGATATGCCATTAGGTGAGCCTATAGACCTAATAAGATGCCTTTTAATCCAAGTTGAAATAAAAACCAATAACATTATGTCAATAGGAATTATGCTTGAATTATATATATATATATATATATATATATATATATATATATATATATATATATATATATATATATATATGTTAATTCTATCTGAGGCGATGATATCTTTAAATAACAAGAAATTTTGTGTGCTTTACGTTTGTTTCTTTTTTGCTGGTCTTTTATGGTATTACCATTTCGAGTGAACAGTAAGCTTATGTCAGCAGAGGGATGCTGTCTTATTCTAATTTCAATGCATGTTGTTTTAAGTAAAATGGTGTACTTTCTTTTAATAAACTATATGAAGAGCATATAAAGTGTTGAGATCAATATGACGGTTGTGTGAAATAGCTTCTGTTGTCATGGTTATTCTCCTGGTGATTAAACGAATCTGTATTTCTTGCTAGGGCGAAAAGTGGCCATAATTTAGAGATTTTAAATTTCGTTAACTAGTGACGACCACCGGTTTGTGTTTCACGAATGCGCGGATAATTAGAATTTGATTGCTTTCTCGGTGATAAAAGGCTATAATTATTCCAATATTTTTCCCAGAGGTACAAATCGCACACGTAGAATCTTGCCAAACTAAATTTTGAAACTTGCCTTTCTTTAGTGAAATTGCTTTATTTATATCTATTGAGGCGCATTATGTCCATAAGAAAAATTAGTTCCCATTTTCTTAAATCCGATTTACCTCTGTGGTAAATGATACAGTTGACTCTACGTTCACGTGGTTTTTTTTTTTTTTTTTTTTTTTTTTTTTATCTTGCAAACTGTATTAAACAAACATGAAAAGAAAAAAGTTTTCTTTCATACATCTGGTTTTTATTTGGTTCATTTTTCTAAGACAGCATGGAGAAGAATGTTGTCTTTGTTCTTACAGCACTAATTCATGATTTATTCGGTTTTCCTATACATATTTTGATACCTTACAACCTACATCTGTCCAGACCGAAAGAAAAATAAACGTTTAACCTTGGTAATAATGTTTGGCCTAAGTCTTCACTAATTTAAAATCAACGATCATAATGGTATATCCTCAGACAGTGGTTCAAATGTCGTGACCACGAGTTTTTAATGACAGGTTAGCGACAGTTGCTAATTAAAAGAGAATTTACCACGTGCATAAGATTCATAAAGCGCCTAACAATTATAATATACTTTAATTCATTTTCTGACTACTATCTGTATAAACCGTATATTAAACACTGTAGTAGTGATTTATGGTAAGCAAATCTGGAAAAGAGCCTTTCAAAAAAACTAATTAGAGTTTTCTTAAGAGATCAAATTACAAACTCTTACATTGATTCAACTGAGACAGAAGACCTGAGAATTTGTCCAAGCACGATCTCTCACTTTCTGACTTGTATCGGTATAAAGCGTATATTAAACACTGTAGTAGGGATTTATGGTAAGCAAATCTGGAAAAGAGCCTTTCAAAAAAAACTAATTAGAGTTTTCTTAAGAGATCAAATTATAAACTCTTACATTGATTCAACTGAGACAGAAGACCTGAGAATATGTCCAAGCACGATCTCTCATTGGCCGATGTGACCCACTCCAGACGGAATGTGGTTTTTATTTATAAAGAAATCTATTTCTAAAAGCCATGTCATCGTTTTGGTCGTAAGAGTTAAAGCAGAGCGAAATGTCAGCTGAAATATTTGTCACCATAAAAAATGTCGTGCTTGGCCAAATTTAATAGTCAAGTATCTGAACTTAGTATAAATTCCTGTAGGTCCAATACAATAATCAAAGTCACTTGGGCCAAATATTAATTAACTGGAATTGTCGCCTACAGCGGTAACCAGAAATTTGTTGTTCTGAATTCCAGTGATGTTGGAAACGGTTCATATCGACGTGATTCATATTGACATTGGATGACATTGGATTGGTTCCTTTTATAAATGTGTAAAAGAGTTTGCGAGCGTGCATTTAATGTCAGAAAACAGACAATTTGGCTTATCCTTCATCATAATTCATTCTTAGGCATTATTGGTAACTTTTTCATTTTAACAATACCTCAGATTTAACGCAATCCTCTTTAATCCGTCTATCCGTTTTCCCGTCCATCAATCCATCCATCCAATCCATTAACCATTAATCTCTCTCTCTCTCTCTCTCTCTCTCTCTCTCTCTCTCTCTCTCTCTCTCTCTCTCTCTCTCTCTCTCTCTCTCTCTCTCTCTCCTCTCTCTCTCTCTCTCTCTCTCTCTCTCTCTCTCTCTCTCTCTCTCTCTCTCTCTCTCTCTCTCTCTCTCTCTCTCTCTCTCTCTCTCTCTCTCTCTCTCTCTCTCGTAGTCTATAAGTCACTAAAACAATTTGCATGACTTCTGTAAAGTGTTGTTTGATGTTAGTTTTCATATACATATATTTTAAAGTAGCAAACTTCCATGGAATACCGCTGGTAAAATTTTGCTTATCTCTGATCGAACTTCGGTTTTTATCCCTGATCGAATGTCAGTTTTTTTTATCCACGATAGAATGGCAGGTTTTATTCATAATCGAATGGCACATGTATGCAATGGTTAAGAACACTTTTGAAAACACAGAATGGCATATATTGTAGCAAAATGACTATATGCTTCCTGTGGAGGCGTATTTATTGTATAGTAATTTGCGTCATCTTGTAATAATTAACTCTTAGTGAACCCCAGCGTTTTCCCTGGACATAACCCATCAAATGTCTCATTAAACTGTCGAGACAGGCAAGAAGGTAAGCGAACAACGATTCAATTTTACGTGAGGGAATCGGTAATTTATGAACGATATAGCCTGTCCTCGTCTGGGTTGAACAAAATATTCTTGTTCTGAATTCAAGTAGAAAAAAATAACTATTTCGTCCATTATATCACTTTTAAAAAAAATAGATTTTCTTGAAGTAAAATAAAATTAATATATCGATAACCCTCCCCAATCCCTCGCCTCCCTTCCCCAAAAATCGAATGGTCTGTCCCGAAAGTTAAGTTATACTTCTATTTAGAAGACAACTGGAATGTTTTCTAACAATATAACTACATACATACTTTTTTGTATTATGTACCGGCAGATCTGGGTCTACGCAGTTTGTTAAGACTAATACGTAAAACAAGCAACATAACTCCATCTGCCGACGCTGGGTTTGTGTTTGCCGCTGGACTCAGTTACAGGCAAGTGGTTTCTGTAAGCAATTCAGACAAAACCTGATAATGTCCCTATTCTAGCACACGTTAAATAGTCCAAAAATACTACGGTATCATGTTAAGGATGCTTTCGGATAAGGTCACTAGCAGACAGTATTCTGCCCATTTTGCCTGTATGATGGACAACCTGACAGTTTCTCCTATATGTGACCACAAGAATGGACCATTTTGAACAAGTCACACTGAGGCAAAATCAGCATAAATATTATAAACATAGATACTAAAAAAAAACATATGCATTCTGTTTGTGTATGTCATTGTCATTATTCAGTTTACTGAGATTCAATAAACTTTTTAAAACTTCCAAACACTATATAAATTCAACAGTGTATCTGTCAGCATAGCAAAATTATGGCTGGTGATGGCGTTATTCGGGATCTCTCTATCCATAAGGCTGGTGATGGCGTTATTCGGGATCTCTCTATCCATAAGGCAAGCATGAGGTCAGACTGGCTTCAAATTTAGTGTAGTCAGCCTCATTTTGAGTTGACATTTCCGTAACAATTTCATTGAGGCTTGGCTAAAGAAAATGACGCGCTCATGGTAACAGTGATGCTTTAAGTGACATTTCGCAAGAAGTGAAGCGCCATCTCAAGGCCAGCTTGATTATTCAAAGGGAGTGATTTTTGGACAGATATACATCGAATCGAATATGAACTGTTCAGTATGTTATTCATTCTCGGTCAATGATTGGATGTGCTATCTCTTGGCCAGCTTGATTATTCAAAGAGATAGATATTTGGACAGATATATATCAAAACGAACATGAAATATTAAGTGTTACTCATTGTCCATCTGTGATTGGAAGTTTGTAATTAGCAATGTTCCTTTTGTTAGAGTCATCAATGGGAAACATGAAAATAGCGGTTTTATTACATTTGTTAGAGTCAACGATGGGAAACTGTGACATCTGTGAGAGTCGTCAATGGGAAACACGCAGCTTGCGATACGGTGACATTTGTTAGAGTCAACATCGGGAAACAGCAGTGAATGTAGATTTAGCTAGATTAATCAAACAACTTCGGATATATAACAGGAAACATAAATTTTATAACTATTCCATGATACATGTTAACGTTGAATAACAGCAAACCTTTTAGATGAAATTACCATTATTATGTATGCTCTAAATGTTTAAGGACGTTTATTCAAAATATATTGAAAAATGGATTTAGATCTCAAGTTAATTAATTACTTTGAAAGGTTATCATATTTTTGTATCTAAGATTATGAGTCGCACACACACACGCGCACACACACAGATATTGTTTGATGATACTCCTATATATATATATATATATATATATATATATATATATATATATATATATATATATATATATATATATATATATATATATATATATATATATATATATATATATATA